ACATTTTTCTCCATGGTGATCTCAATGAAGAAGTTTATATGGAGCAAGGACCTGATTTTGTTGCTCAGGGAGAGTCTACTGCACTTATATGTCGATTGTTTAAGTCACTCTATGGTCCGGAACAGTTTTCTCAACGAACTTATCACTCTGTATTTTATCGACATTATACATCAAATCTAATTTATTTTTTTTGAGGAACTACATCTAATCTAGTATTTATTTCATGAGAAGGCCAAGCACATTGAGATTCACTAACATTATGCATCAAATCTAGTATTTCATGAGAAGAAGCACATTGAAATTGACGGTCAATTTTGTGAAGTCGGGTGATCAACCTGCAGATATACCACCAAGCTCCTCATCAGTCCTTGTATTAATCACATTTGTAACAAGCTGGGTACATGTGACTTATATGCACCAGCTTAAGGGGGGGTGTTAAAATTGAAATAGATATATACAATCCTATTTAGAATAGGAATAAGCATAGGAATGGAATAGGAATAGGAATAGTAAATAATATCCTACTTAGTAAAGGATTGTATTGTAGTGTTTATAAATAGGGTCTCTATGTAATAATGTAGATACAAAATTAAATAATATTTTTTTCCTATATTTCTCACAAATACTATAGTGAAAAAGCCATGATGAAAGTAGCAACAACAACAACATACCTAGTATAATCTCAGGCCTAGCTCGAGCGGCAAAAGGTGGAGGATTTGTGGCTTAGGTCACAGGTTCATGCCCCACACCATGCAAATCGAAGCCCGGTATTTAAGTGGAGAAGGGTAGAGGGGCGGACCCATTATCCACCGAGTTTAGAAGGCTGTGATTGGTCCAAAGGACAGGTCACAGACGGATTTCTCGGTTATTAAAAAAAAAAAAAAATCCCACAGTGAGGTTTGGGAAGGGTAGAGGGTACGCAGACCTTACTACTCAGGTAGAGAGATTGTTCCCAATAGACCCTCGGCTCAAAAAAAAAAGTCTAAAGTAGTCCAAAAAACAAAGCAACAAAAGTTCAAGAAATAGCAGATAGTAACAGGACAATAACTACAACAACATAATATGATAGTCAAAGGACAAGACAACAAATAATAACAGAAATCAAAGGACCAAAAACTACAAGAGCAATACTACAACTACTAGTATGGACAGATAACAAGACAACGCACTACTACGTACTAGCCCTCTACCCCAATTCGTGTCCTCCACAACCTCTTACCTGAGGCCATGTCCTTATTAAGCTAAAGCGGCATCATATCTTGTCTAATAACCTATCCCAAGTTGTCTTCAGTCTATCTCTACCTCTCATAAAACCATCCATAAGCATTGTCTGACAACTCCACACTAGGACATCTGTACATCTTCTTTTTAGATGCCTAAATCATTTCAGTCTCGTTTCTACATCTTGTCCTCCTCCGAAGCCACTCCACCTTGACCCAGATGTCCTCATTTGAAATCTTATCAGAGAGAGTAGTAACAACAAATAATATGATAACAAAGCAAAGGAAACAATAAATAAAGAAAAACTAAAGAATAAGATAATAGGAGAGTAATAATAATAATAATAATACTTAAGGAAAACTAGACAATGTTCAACTCTTTACTAACCTTCTACCCTGATCCTCGACCTCCATATCAAATTTTCTAGGGCCATGTCCTCAGTAAGCTGCATGTATGTCATTTCTTGTTTAATCACCTCTTTCAATACTTCTTCAGTCTACCTCTACCTCTTCACAAACCCACCATGGTCAACCTCTCACATCTCTTTACTAGGGCATTTATGCATCTCTTTACATGCTTGAACCATCTTACTCTTGCTTCTTTCATATTGTCAACCATAGCAGCCACTCTCACCTTGTCGCGAATATCTCTCCTAGTATGACCACACATCTATCTCAACATTTTCGTTTCTTCTACTTTCATCTTTGGGAAGTTTGAGTTCTTGACCGACCAACACTATACCACATAGCTAGTCTAACCACTTTATAAAACTAACCTTTACGTCGTGGTGGTACATTCTTATCACAATAGACACCGGATGTAAGCCTCCATTTCATCCACCTCACTCCAATACAATGTGTAACATCATCGTCAATCAAATTAGCTAAATCAAAATGTCATCTCCATGGTTCTTCCTGCACTAACTCTTCCCATTACAGCTCATCCCCTCTTCCTCTTCAAGTCTACTCTAGACGACCTCAACCAAACCCTCCACTAGCCAATCTAGTTGGTGTTACTGTTCATGATACATGCAAACAATGTTTGACGAGTGACTCATACTGCACTCATCAAATAAAATAGATCTTCCTATTGCTCTTAGAAAAAGCATTCAGACTACTCACAATATTTATCTTGTTTATAATTTCCTGTGTTATTACACTTTGTCGCCTTCATACCATGCCTTTATTATCAATTTATATACTATCAAAATACCAAAGACAATGGCAAGGCATGATGGCTCATCCAAGTTGGTGTCAGGCTATGATCAATGTAATGATAGTCTTAAAGATAATGGTACTTGGGAATAGTTCTTTTCCCACCGCACGAAGCAGTCGTTAGATGTTGAAATTTATATCAAAGTGGAGATTGATGGTTTCAAAGCTAAATGGGTAGAAACGGATCTACTCAAATTAACGGCCTTGATTATAATGACATTATTTCTACGATAATGAAGATTGTATATATTTGTCTACTTATTTCCATCGCAGTCATGTCTCTTTAGCTCCTTTATTAGTTTCACGGCGGCCTGGTTGAGGATGTCAACATGTAGCAACCTCAAAGTTTTTTACTCACAAGAAGTTTGAGTTTGTGTGTCGATTACATTAATCTTTGTATAGTCTTGAGTAATGGATTCATCGTAAACCTAATAGTAATTTCCAATAACGTAAATCAATAGTTCAAATTGCATTCAGAACAAAGTAATCTTTTACTTTGGTTAAGGGCCCTTTTTGTGAGAAAGTTGAGGGCCAAAGTCACTGAGTGGGTAAGTCGTCAATCCTTGGACTATGTAATGTACTTTATATGTTGGGTTATGGGCGAGCATTTTACCAAAGGTTTCTAAAAAAGTCCGTCGAAGGATTCCACGAAAATTTAAGGATTAGTCATTTGTGGTTGTTTAGCACTAATGATCAAGAGTTTGGCATGCTTCAAAGTAAAGTTGACCACTCTATTTTCTATAAACATTCTCATAATGGAAAAATCAGAGTAGCATACTCTTGATTGTTTACGCTCATGACATTGTCATAAAGGCAATGATGAAGGCATCACTCAACCTAAATAGTATCTAATTAGTCACTTCGAAACCAATCTCAAACCAAATATCTGATTAAATGAAGATACTTCCTAAGCATTGGCATTATTCAACACTAGGATTTTCATTTTAAGAGGTATGATTTGAACATAATGGAAAACACTAGCACATTAAATTGCAAACCTATTGATGCTCCTATGGAATCAAATGTTAAGTTCCATCCTAGCCAGTGGGAGCCCTAGAGGACCCTAATCATAATCGAAGATTAGTTGACAAGCTCAATTATATTACAATCATGACGAGACATCTCATTTTTTTATCAGTGTTATTAGCCAATTTCTCCAAGCTCCTTGTGGCAGTCATGAAATGCTTCAATTCACAATCTTAGGTATATCGAAGTTAACTTGGACAAGGCTTATTATATGAGGATAAGAGCATAACAAATACATTGGAAACTCCAATGCAAACTAAGCAGGATCTTCTTAAGATAGATTATCTACTAAAGGAAAACTATGTTTTAATTAGAGAAAATCGACATCTTGGAAAAGCAAAACACACGCAATAGTTGGATCAATCGCAAAGGCAGATTATCAAGCAATGATGTTGGCTACATGTGGCCTTATATGACTAAAGCAACTTTTTTAAGGATTTTGCACTAATGCAACTGATCTATGGCAATCAGGCTGCAATACACAATGTTTTAAGCTTAGTGTTTCGCCCCCAAGGCCTAGCTCAAGTGGCAAAAGGTGGAGGATTTGTGGCTTAGGTCACAGGTTCAAGCCTCACACCATGCAAAGCGAAGCCTGGTATTTAAGTGGAGAAGGGTAGAGGGGCGGGCCCATTATCCACCGAGTTTAGAAGGCTGTGATTAGTCCAAAGGGCAGGTCACAGACGGATTTCTCGGTTATCAAAAAAAAAAAAAGCTTAGTGTTTCATGAGAGAGCGAAGTAAATAGAAACATTTTGTCATTTCATCCGACAAAAGAGTTGGGGTACATTACTACAGGTTTTATCAACTTGAATGATCCAGTTGGCAAATATAGTTACAAAGTCAATCCACTGCTCCAGAATTGAGTATATTTGAGGAAAGTCAAGAGCATATAATGTGTATTCCCCAACTTGAGGGGGAGTATTAAGAATAAAGAAAATGTTAAACATTTAGAAGAGCCCATTCTTTGTAAAAATGGAAAAGGTTAAGAATTCTTATAAATTATAATTGTGTAACTACAAATAGGAAATACTTTCCTTTCCTTTTTAGGATTACATTTTGTTCCTCTTTAGGTGTAAACAATATTTGAACCACAACATGCTTGAGGGAATAATCAAGTAATTCATTTCAAACATCTCATTCTTTTTTCATTATTTACATTTAGCTTATTATCATATGGTGAAATGCAATGTGTATTTGCTTTTACTACAATCTAATGGGCACATTTTTTCAAGAAAACATTAAATACCTTCAAACATATAATTGATCTTCATAGGAGACATACAGACATTTATCTTCTTTTTCTATAAACTGATTCCCTCAACAAAATTGGTAAAGGCCTTGGCATCTTTGTTTTCCCCATATGCCTGGCAGTAAAGCACCAGAAACTAAATGTAAAAGATGGTCTCCTCTAAACACCAAAGAAGCATAAATAATCTCACTTGTAGGGCAGCTGCTTGAAATTAATTTGCATGATTGAAAGCAAGAATATTTAATCCATAACTAGAAATAATAAAATGTGAGAATATATAGTTAAGGATATGAGTGCCATTAAACATCTTGGTGAGAAAATTTCTAAGAGATAGATGCAATGCATTGGACCACTCCTGAGAAAAGTATACCCGAAACTGGGGTTCGGATTGAGGAGCTTTAACATATGGAATTGCTGCATGAAATGATTAGACGTCAAGAAAGTTTCATCATTTAATTTGAATAGATAAATAGAAGAGATAGATAGTACCGACCAAACCAGGATGCCCAATGTTGGTCTTTTTGCAGCAATTCAGTGCCATGTATGTCAAACAACTCTATGACTTTATCCTTTCTGCCAGCTTGTATGGCATGAATGATATAATAGCGTATAATAGAGATATCTAACTCAGATATGACAGAAATAAGATGTGTCTCGTGAGAAGAAAAGCAGTTGTTGAAAAAGCGAAGGAGTTGAATGAGGTTTTCAGCTTGGAATTTGGGGATATAAATGGAGAAAATTAAATCTAATATCTTATCAACTTGAAATCCTTTGCCAATATCAGTTCCCAACTCTTTGACAAAAGCCTGCAGAGTGTTTGTAAAGCCTCTGAATACTAGAAACTCCCTCACAAGCTCCTCCGCATACACCATATTCTCCATCTTCAGCTTATATGGATTATTAATTTTTTTAAAAATCTATGAACCTAGCTTCTCCACAAACTCGGCAGCACACATACAAGAGTTAATAACCCATCTTAACTATCCACAATTTATCAACTCAATACTTAAACTAGAGGATGTTCATGTTATATCCCCATCAAATATAACATTTCCTGTGTGAAAACCCCTGCTGCACAGTCTCTTTTCTTTTTTAGCAAAGAGATTTAAGACAGAAATTTTACCAGCTAACTAAGACGACAAGCAAAGAAAGCGACTCCACCTCGCCTGAGAGGAAAACTCCGAATCGACTAGAATGAAAAATTCAACTAAGCTTCCTGGTTTCGAAAAATTCAGGTCCAGAAGCCTTTTCTTTCGTTTTTTAGGCTAAAATTCCCCTTTAACAAAGTCAATGAGTAGGGTTTATATAGGCCTGAGATTATGAGAAAAATAGTGGCCCAAATCGATGTGGGAACCTGAAAATTTTGGAATCGTACTAATTCGAACGGAATTGAATGGAGGATCGTTTGATTCTTGAGTAGTACGAAGAAGCTGTGAGATTCGAGAATCTTCTTGTACAGAGAGGGTAACGGTTAGAGAGGACGACGCAGCTGCAAAGTCACTAGGTTCGGGTTGCTCTTGGGTTCATTCGTGTCTGGATTCGCTTGGCGAAGAAGAAGACACAGTATAATAATTATCTAACATTCAAAATAAACAACTCATTATAATACTAATTATTTAACTTAACTAATTTAAGAACAAGGAAAATACATATTTAACTCAAGAGCTATTTTTTGGGATAGTTTTTTTTTTCAAAATATAAATCTATATATTTTATAGGAAAAATGGCAAAATTGCCTTGAAAATAATTTTAAAAGTATTATTTGTTATTCGAAAACAATTATTTTAAATTATTTGAAATTTAAGAAGCTTGAAAATTAATCAAATTCTGGAGAGTCAAAATTGGGTGTCAATAAGTCCCATTTTTAAATATTGTGTCTCCTCATAAATGACCATATTCTTGAGGTTTATTTGGATGGAATTGCTAGAACTCAAGAGGCAAACGGAGAGTTCAAGAAGGAGATAAATCGAGATATTGCTCTTGTGAATAAAGTAGACGATGTGTTGAAGAATGAATATAGTGTGTCATTAGTGTGGTAGATCGAAAAAAATTAGGGAATAGTTCAGCATAAAGATGAATCTTGGATTCTCATGAATCATTAGGATGATGACGCTTATTTCTTACTATAGATGACGATTTTACTATCTAATCTCTAGAGCTTATCGCATAATTATTACATTTTATCACATATGGATTATTAGGGACTAATAATGAGCAATCATAATATAGTCCTCTATCATGTAATGGATATACCATTTCCTGTATAAAAAATATTAATTTTAAGTCACTATATGAAATATCAATATTTATAGATTTCTCAATACATATGTATGTAAAATGATATACGATGTGGTATAAAGTTAGTGTTTAGTATAACATAAAAATGATGCACATCAATATTTGATTAACTATGTACCGCAATATTTCTTAGCACAAAATTTATTGACTAATATATCAATCCCTAATTACAAAATTTTAATTATTCTACAATTATAAGAAATATGAAACTCTATGCATTCACCGACTTATAAATTATATTAAATGGTGTACATTGTGGTTTGTAGGTGGTGTGGCAACTATTGTTCAACCCCAAAAGGATGAATTACATCAACATTTGATCAATTATTCACTACAGTTATTCTTAGCACAAATGTTATTCACAAATATATCAATAAGTACAAAAAATTATTTTGTCTACAATTATTTGAAATACCAAATTTTATATACTCACTAATTTATATTTACATAATAAAATGGTGTAATTTGTGATTTATAGTTGGTGTACATAAACATCTGTTCAACCCAATTCGTGTCGATACTAATCTAGTACTTTTCATTGCAGCATCAACATAATGAATAACAGAAAATATTATAGAATATTTTTCATAGTTTTAAAAAAACAATTCTCATATTTAAAGACTATTAGCACCATTATAAACTCCGATATTTCATTTTTTTTGTTGCAAGAAGTTTCAAAACTGTCGATAAGTTGTATAAAATAATAATAATAATAATAACAACAACAACAACAATATTCTCATATTACTCAATATCCAGATGGCAAAATTTGTATTCAGTTTGATGAAAAGAGTGTCCCTTATAATAGACATTCATTTTCTGATAGAAGATTGTTTGCATTCAGCATATCTCGCCGATTGAGCCAACTTATGGTCCAGCTCGTAATCGTGCTGCTTCATTGCACACTTTACCTTCTGTGATATCTACTGATAATAAGATTAAAATTGATCCTCGATTAAATATAGTTCGAGCCAATGATAAATCATCTAATATTTCTGATAAAGATATTCCTTCTGCATTCGAAATGGATTTTAACCCTAATGATACTTAATGATGGACGTACACCAAATTGATTTTAGCCCAGGTTCACTGGTAAGAAAGTATGTTCAAAATGAATTTTCTAGTGATAAATGGAACCGGTTTAAAACTTGGTTTTTTTACACTTATAGTGTTGATGACCTAAATAATATTTCTCAAGAATTTTATGAAACTTATGCTTTACATAATCATATTATGTACTTTGTACCTTGGTTTATAACCACCTATTTACCTTTATTCATCAACGTCCTTGAACGATCATATAAAGATGAATCTGGTAATATTGTCAAAGCTATTTATCCACCTCAGGCATCTTTTATTTTACCAAATAATATTGGTATTACTTTTACTGCCTTTCAAAATTTTGTTGAAGAAGATGTTGCGGCAGTAAGCATCAATGAGATTAATAATTTGATTTCTCAAAATAATTATTTGGGATTTTATGTTAAAGTTTTGGGTGGACATATTAGTTCTCTTGATAAAAAAATTAGATGAACAAACTGCATTGATAATTCAAATAAAAAAGGATTTGAAAACTTTTGAGAAAGCTTCTACCTCAAAACAGCACTCAGAACTTTCTACTCATGTGCAACGACCCCCTGAGATTCAGGATTTTGTATTTAAACCTCTTTATGATTTAGAAGAACTTGATAAAAAGTTTTCTGAATTCAGTGCTAAACCAATGGATTTGTCAGAAAATTTGCGGATGAAATAGAACAAGCTTTTGATTTTAAAGAGCATGTTGCATTAGAGTTTAATAAACTGTGTGGTTATCCGAAAAAGAATAGTGGTAATACTACTCAGTTTGCTCATAAACCCAGCATGCAAACTTATTATTATTCCAGACCAACTCCTCAAGATGTGTTAATAGAGGAACGAGATTGGAATCAGACTAATACCTCTTATAGTGGGTTCGAAATACATGAATGGAATCTTGATGGGTTGACTAATAAACAGTTGACTATTCTTGTTCATAGAATGTTGATGAATGCTACTATCTATAAGAATGTAAAAATTACAGATAGAAATATTTGAAAAATGATAATTGCAGGTTTTACTGGCCAACTCCGAGGCTGGTGGGATAATTATATGAGCTTTGAAGCGAAAGCGGCTGTGGTAAATGCTACTGCAGATAACGAACGTGTTGATAACCTAGGCATGGCTTTAGTAACAAATAGAGAAGATGAAGTTTATACTCTCGTCTTCACTATTTTAGAACATTTCAATGGTAGATTTACTAATCAGTACGAGACTGTTCGCATCCTGTTAAACGGTCTACGTTATAGACACTTGGGAGAATTTCGATGGTAGAAAGATACTTATATCAGTCGGGTGATGGAACTACCCGAAAACGGTCTTGGGCATTGGAAGAATAAGTTTATAGACGGCCTTCCCTCTTTATTTGCTGAAAGAGTTAGAAAAACTATTAGGAATCCTCAAGGTGAGATTCCCTACGACACTTACACTTATGGTAAGCTGATAAGAGTTTGTACTCAAGAAGGTATAAACTTGTGTAATGAATTACAGTTATCTCGACAGCTTAAGATGGATAAGCTTAGAGAAATCTCAGCTAGGAGACTTCTGTGTTCAGTTTGGATTACCCAGTACTTCTGCTAATAGCCAGACGAAGAAAAATAGAGAATCCAATCCTGATAAACATTATTAGAGAAAAAGATCTAGACGTAGGTCTAAAGAGGAACGGGAAGAGTGAAAAGCTCATCAAAAATTTAATAGATTTACAAAGAATAGGTCTAGGCGAGAACTCGCTAAGATCAAGTGCTACAAGTGTGGCAATTTTGGACATATAGCACCCAATTGTAAAATTGAAAAGCTAAAAACTTTAGAACTAGATGAAGAAGTTCACGATAAGATCTATAGTTTCTTGTACACCTCTGATTCTGAGTCCGATTATGATTCTGAAACAGGTTCCGAAGAAGAGATTGATTTACTTGAGTACTCTGATAATAATCAGCAGGTTAATATGAACGCATGCATATGCCGAGGTGATATTTGCTCTTGCGAAAATGATGAATTTTATAAATTACAATCTCAATTTGAAAATTTGAACATTAATACTATTACTTCTGATAATGTGATTGAACTTCTGAAAGAAGTTTCTGATAATAATCTGCGTGAAAAAGTTATTCAATTGGCTGTTAATAACAGTGCTAGCTCATCAAAAACTATTGAAAAACTTAAAAATGATTTTGAATTTGAGTATTCTGCACCATACTCTTTGTTTGAAGTTAATAATAGACTTAATAAACAACCTATTTCTACACGCGATTCTTCGTTTGATGATCTGAAAGGAGAAGTCAAAAAATTGAAAGACGAGATTAAATCTCTTAAACAAAATCAAATGATATGTGATCATCGTATTACTAAAATTGAAACTGTTCACAACGAAGGGAAAAATGTTGCTGAAGAAAATACTCTTGCAAAACCTTTTAACCTTGATCCCAGGCAAGGTTTGTTTTTGGGAATGATGCAAATTGTTACTGTCATACCCCAAACTCGAGGGGAGCAACTGGCACCTAATGCCAAAACTCAGGCCCAAGCCGACCCTGCTGAACCATTTGCTACTAGCGCATGGCAGCCACACACAATCAAGAAAACAAACAAATATATCTCGGCTTAAAACTAAGTCCTCGACCGGCAAGGCCCCTGTCAACGGATATATAAAAGAAACAGCTACTCCCAGGAGATCATATAAATAAATAGTCAACCAGCACAAAGGTCTTAATTGGGCCGTTGAGGCCACCATGATATCTATACCAAAACTAAAAGCAGGTATATATCATTACAATATATCAAACAGCTCACAAGCTTCAACAAACCAACAACATAGGCCAGTATGGCCATAACGTAGCTATACACCTCACACATTAGTCTGCAAGCCTCTAAGAGTAGTAAAGATTAGTGAGACAGGGCCATAGCCTACCCATAAAGATATAATCAACAAAAGGTAAAAAAAACCTCCCAATTCTGGCAGCTCCGAAGGAAAGGGCTAGCCAATCGGATAAAAGTCAATCCTGCTACTGAGGAGGTCTACTCGGTCGTCTGTCAGGACCTACATGCATAAATGCAGTGCCCCCAAGGCAATGGGGAGTCAGTACAAAATAATGTACAGAGTATGAAAGGCAATAGACTATGAGGAGGTATCCTGATATACAGGAATAATCTGATAAATAAATCAAGGATAAGATAAGTGTATTGACCTGCTCCTACATCTAAACTTATCAAAAAT